AAAAGAAACAAGAAACAACCAAGGAAGCCATGGGAAAACCCACAGAGTGAGAGAAAACCTTCACCAGCAACACATATGACAGAGGTATAACATCCAGAATATATAAAGAACTCAAAAAACAAAGAATCAAAGTCACCCAAAAAACAAAGAATCAAGAAAGGAAGTCACCCAATTAAAAGATGGGCTAAGGATCTGAACAGGGAGTTTTCACAAGAAGAAATAAAGATGACTAAGAAACATCTTAAAACGTGTTCAACATCATTAGTAATTAGAGAAATGCAAATTAAAACCACTTTAAGATTTCATCTTACCTCAGTCAGACTGGCTAAGATCAAGAGAACAAATTATACTAAATTCTGGAGAGGATGTGGGGAAAGGGGAATGCTCACACACTGCTGGTGGGTTTGAAAACTTGTGCAACCCCCTATGGAACGCACTGTGGAGAACTCTTAGAAAACTAAAAATGAATGTACCATTTAACCTGGTTATACCACTCCTTGGCATATACCCCAAGGACTCATCCTATTGCAGAGACACTTGTACATCCATGTTTGTTGCTGCTCTTTTCACAATAGCTAAGAGATGGAAGCAACCTAAGTGTCCCTCAACTGAGGAGTGGAATGAAAATGTACATTTTACACAATGGAGTTCTACTCAGTGGTAAAGAAAGATGAAATCATGAAATTTTCAGGTAAATAAATGGAATTAGAAACTGTTACACTAAGTGAAGCAACACAGACCCAGAAAAACAAACGATGTATGTTCTCCCTCATATGTGAATCCTAGCACCAAATCCTTATATGTATGTACCCAGATGTAACTGCAGGAACCAGAATAATCAAAAGGAACCAGGAAGGTAAAGGTAAAGAAAGAACCTGAGTGAGAAGAACAGTAGTAGATAGGTGTTACTATGGTAGAAATGGATAAAAATGGGGCTATTTAAATAAGAAAGGGGAGGGAGGGTTATATAAGGAACCTTGGGGATAAAAGGAAAGAAGGACCTCAAGAGAGATGGCACCATAGGAAACTGGTGTTGCTAAGGGAGAAATTGGGAAAATGGAGATATTTTAAATGCAGAAAGGTTAGACAGGGAGGAGAGAGGTGGGGGAGATAAATAATGCCTAGCTATTTTTTAAAAATCAGAAAGAATCGTATTAGTACAACAATCTA